GGGGAAAACGGAAGCTCCGGAGTTGGATTCATATCACCTGGCATGGGCAGACGCTTGGTATACACACTGCTGAATATTCTCCATGCCCAAACAACTTCCACCCAGTCCCACCAGAGATTTTCTTTGCAGGCCCTGGAAGCCTTGACCGTCTCCAAACCTCAGACCGCTGGCTTCCGACTTCCTTGCCAACCTTTGTTCCCCTTTCGTCTTTTCTTTTGCTCTTTGTTTACACGTTGTCAATCTTCTGCCCATCCCCCTTTCAAGGAGCAGTGATTCAGCCCAGGTGGAAAGCTTAGGCCTCCTGTGTGCCTCCCCGCAGCACACACTTGGTCAGACTGCCTGGCCCCCGACTCACCGATGTGCTTCCCATACATGTGGTAGAAGAAAGAGACGCAGTAGAACTTGGCGCTGGCGTTGTAGAGAGGACTCACCAACCTCGCACGGTCGCCCAGCTCCCGGGGCCGGGATGTCTCGATAAACATGTAGTGGCCTGCAGGGGAGGGGAGATGTGAGCACACCCGCCTGCCCACCCCAAGCTCCCTGCCCGCCATGCAGCTCAGGGCTCTGTCCAGTTCCCCTTCTTTCTGATCCTCCACGATCCCCTCCCACGGGGCTCCCCAAGGACAGGGACCACATCTCCCCGGGGAGGGGCCGCGTCCTCCTCAGACGTCTGGGGCTCCACGGGCCTGGACCTCCCCGAAGCCATCCTCCCTCCCTGCCCCAGGCCACTGTCCTCACCCTCAGGGGTGCCACTGATGTCCATGGGGGGCCCAGTGTTGGGGGAGCGCTTGGGGTTCTGGGTGAGAGCGTTCTGTCTCGTCCAGTCAAAGTTGTCTGTCGGGTCCTGGGTGTAGCCACAAATCTTGTCGTCCTCGAAGTGGCAGGTGTTGTCTACACCAGCGGGTGGGAGGGTAAGACAGGCTCAGCTCCTCAGCCCTCGGCTCAGCCTCCCCTCCGCCATCACCAAGGCAGCACCAAGTGTCTGAGCCCCGGGCCTGGCCGGGTTTCAAGGCAACAGGGCCCAAGTTTTCCTTGTGCCACAAACTTTTCTGACTCCTAATGAAGCGTTAAGGGTCTCATCTCAGAATAATGGCTTTAGACACGTAACATGAAATGCACAGGGATCACAAAGGAAATCAATTGTATTGAAGTACAGTTGTCAAAAAAATGGTTATAATTTGTTATATAATAACAGGGCTTCTTTATTATCTAATTAAATCGCAAGATTTAGTGTTGGGCCTAATAACGACTGTAGTGTTGAGATACTAATGAATGTAAGCGATATTTAGAGATCTCTGCAAGCACTGGGAGGTGATGTGAAAAACATTGGATTTCTCCTGATGACAGCCACAGATACCGATTATTCTACTGTGGTTTGCAATCTGCATCCATCATTGAAAGGGAGATTAAATCTCTGATAGAAGTTAGGGAAAATAAAGAAATAACTGCATCCCCTTTATTCATACACACCTTGAATTCTATTACACAGGTCGCTTGGAGGTCCAAGGAGCACAGATTAGAGGCTGTGGATCAGCCCGGATTATGCTTTTTTTTTTTTCTTTAGGGACCGTGAACATTGTTCCCCATCCCCCACTAGCACCACCCAGCCCAAGCCCCAGTATAAACCCTGGCTGCCAACTCTCCAGCCCGGCCCTTGCCCGTGGGACTCATTTTCCGTCTGGGTATCTCAAGGTCTCTTCTTCCCCTCTCCCATCCCTGAAAGGAAGGGGACATAGAGGGGAGCGGGATGGAGGGAAGGATCTCACCTGACAGGTTCGGAGAGTTGATGGCTAAGGAAACAAGCGGAAACAAGTTAGCCCCAAGGTGTGGGCAGAGCAGGGGGTACTTAGGCTGGGCCGGGCCGGGGGACAAGGTCCTCAGTGCCAAAACGGGCCCGGCAGGCCCGGCCTGCAGTGACAGCATCAGAGGGGCATGGTGGGGCACCCCAAGCTCGGGAGCCCAGTATGGAGGGTTGAGGGAGTCCCTGGGCGTGGGATGGACCCACCCTTGCCACCGTCCCCCCCCCGCCATCACCGCCGTCACCTACGCTCTGTGTAGTGGATGACACGGGAAGCCACGTCACCAGCCCCAAAGGTGGTGTAGGGTGTGAGGCGGATCTCATAGCTGTGGGGTACACGGAGGTCAGTCAGGATGTACTCCAGCAGCTGCCCCTTCTCCACACGCCGTACGGGGATGGCTTTGACCATGGCATTGTGCTGGTTCAGCTGTAGATACAGGGAGTTCGCAGATGCCCGGAAGGCCACACTCTTCCCCTGGAGCACCAGCCCAGACCCTTGTGCGACTGGGGTCAGGAGTGTGGAGGAGCAGAAAGAGCAAAGGCCTAGGACATCCGGCCTCAGTGTCCCTCATCTGTGCCCCGGGACAATGCCCCCTCCCAGGTCCTCCTTCCAGAGCTGCCTCGGCTATAAGGAAATGGAGCCAGAAGCAAGGAAGCTCGCCTAAGCTCACGCGGAGGTGGATCCTCACTTCGGCGGTGGCCCCAGAGACTCCACTCCACACCAGCTGCCTCCTGGGCCGCGCACGAGAGCGGCGCAGGACACTGGCCCACGCCCGGGACCTAAGCACAGACTCTATGTTCGATGAGCGATGCTGGCTCCCCAGGGATCCCACTGACTCGGGCCCACTTCTCTGGGCTGTGCCCGAGACTGACCCAGACGCAGGTACTGTGAGCTCCCAGGCCCCTGACTCCCCAGAAGCCGTGAGGGCCCCACCGTCCCTGGCCCTGCTCCCCCTCGCCCACCTGGCGGACACTGAGTCTGTAACTGAGCACAGGGTCCACGGCCTCAGGCTCCCTCTGCGTCCACTGCAGCACGTACGAGTAGTTCTTGGACAGCTTGTGGCTGCGGGTGGGGTTGGGGGTGTCGAAGTAAAACTCCGGGCTGTAGGCTTTGGCTGAGAGGGCAGGGAGGGGGCACGGGGCCGTGGAGGGTGGCGGGGGTGGCAGAGATAGAGAGAGGAGGCATGGCACAGGAAGACAGGATGGGGTGTCCGGTGACAGAGAGAAAGGGGTGTCGGAGGACAGAGGGGTGTTGGGAACATGAGGGTAGGGGAAAAGTAAGGCAGAGATGGAGCGAAAGGAAATTACAAGTTCCCAGAGGCAGTGTTGGTGAGAACAGAGAAGAGAAGTCAAGGGAGAACCCGAGGGAAGAGAAATTTGGGGAGTCACAGGGAAGGGCATTAGGGGAAACACACAGAGAGCAGATGGAGGCAGAGACACAGGAAGGGGCAGGGGTAGTGAAGAGGGCAGGAGGAGAGAAAATGGATGGAGGCAAAGAGGTAGGGAGGCGGGAAGTGTGGAGAACAGGGGAGGGGGAAGGGGGTGGGAAATGTCACCGGGGCCTCTGGCTGGCAGGGCTGAGTGGGAGGGGCTGGGGAGGTGGCCAGGGACCTGCGGTCCTACCACCCTCCTGAAGAGTTAACGGAGATGTCCACAGAGCTGGGAGCAGTGGAATGGGGGACAAGGAGCCTGCAGCTCTCCTTCAGGGACTCTGCCATCAGTTCAGGCAGGAAGGTGGCTCTCCCCAAATGGAGGGAAAGGAAAGGTCATTGTAACCACCTCCATGCCTTTCTGACCCCACCCGTGGCCTATCCGCAGCCCATCAGCCCATCCCGGAAGGACTTGATGTATAGGCGGGGCTGAGAGGGACTCTAGGCACCGAACAGCCTGCATTTCCAGAGTGGCATTCCAGAGAGACTCTTGAGGGCCAGCTTCCCCGCCTGCGCGTGGGCGGGGCTGGAGGCTGGGAGCCCAGAGCGGGGGTTGGACGAGGCTGTAAGGGGTGGAGCTTATGTTTAATGTAGGTGGGGGCCTAGACCCGGTGTGGGCGGATCCTTAGCGGGTAAGGCCTAGCCCTGGGGAAGGCTGGCCTTGAAAGGAACGTTGCTGTTTTAGACAAGGAACAGAGACGGGAGCTATAACGCTATAATGGGCAGGGGTTAGGTCAGATATTGGCCTACAGAGGGAGTAAGTGAGGGGCGTGGTCTGTCCAGGAGGGGCGGGGCTTTAAGAGAAGGCCAATGATTGGATCAGGGCTGCACAGAGCTGGGTCTACAAAGCCACGATGGGGCTCTGCTCCATGGGCCTCAAAAAGTCAGGACCCGGGCAAGTGAGGCCCAGCAGGGACTGGGCAGAGCCTGGCCCCCTTGGTAGGTGGGGCGGACCGACGGGACGCTCACCGGAGACCTGGAAGAGGCAGGCGGCCGAGCCCACATCATTAGAGACGCTGCAGTCGTAGCTGCCGCTGCTGTCTCGGGTCAAAGCGTCCAGGAGCAGCTCGGCGTGGTCTGGGGCCTCGGCGGCGGCGGCGGCGGGG